CTGTCACAACTTTCCCAGAATAGCACTGAGACAGAATCTGCATCCAATTAATTTTTCTAACCCAATGGGACCTTTCAAGCTGAATGACATTAACATATAATTTCTACATCATGAACCTAGTGAACTCAGTAGGCCATCCTCTTGTCAGCAACAAACTATATCTCTTCTTCCTTCCTTGTACTAAATTTGTTGCTGAATCTTTTCTGAAACCTGTACTAAGCTGTCCTGGACATTATCGCAGACAGCCTACCACACTACGTGCAAATGGCTCTCAAACCAACATCTCTGACTTCAACTCCTCCTTGAGTTTCAGACCCACGATTTTCTAACCACTGGTGTAAGAGAGATCTAGTTTGCTGAGCACCATTAACTCCTGCCAGCCTTCCAACAAGTCTCATTATAACATGAGAAAGTCTCTCTAGCTCAGCTATACACAAAGGCACAACCCGAAGTTTTCCTTAGAGAACGTTTGGCATCCTTGATTTCGGGTAGCTTTAACATTACAGATAACTCTGGTCTTCTGTTTATGTACTATGAAGTCTAAGAGCCTTTGTTCTCTACTACTACAAGTTTGGTCTCCTCACCGACAACATACTGTGTAACAAATTCTATCTGGCAAACTGCTGTGAGGATTAGAAATAGTATGTAGCACAGTACCCAGTTTATAATGCCTCAGTATTAGTTACCATTAATTGTCACCATCAGCCAAAACATGGGTATCTTCCTCTGGCATGATGCTTCTAAATGGGATGATAAGAATACCCAAGACCTGAGAACAGGGAGAAGATGGCGGCGTAGGAGGACGCTGGGCTCACCGTGTCCTGCTGATTGCTTACATTCCACCCACATCTGCCTAATTTACCCCGATAACCACCAGAAAACTAGCAGAATGGACTCTCTGGAGCCAAGCATAGACGAGAGGCCCACAGAAGAGGGTAGGAAGGGCGGAGAGGCAGTGCACTACATGGACTGGCAGGAGGGAGCCAGGGTGGTGGAGGGGCAGCCAGACCACCCGACAAGGGAGAGGCCCCAAGTCTGGCTTGCAAAAGCAGAGGGGCCCCGATGGAGTGTGTTCTGACAGCCAGTGGGACTTAACATCTGGAATGTTGTAAGTCAACAGCTCTGCTCAGAGAGTGGGAGGGAGAGTTGTTGAGCCCCGGAGGACAGAGCTCAGCTTGGCGGGGAACAAAGGCGCTGGGAAGCGCCGTCTCCCTCACCCATCCCCCAGCCAAAATCCCAAAGGGAACCAGTTCCCGTCACGGAACTTGCTTGCACCCCTTAAACACCCAACACTATGCTTCTGTGGATCCATCCCTCCGACGGGTCTGCCTCCCTCCCAGTGCCACAGGGCCCCTCCTGAAGCGGACCAACTGAAGGCAAAGCGAGCTGAGCCTGCCCCTCTTGCCCCTGTGCACCTTGTGGATCCACCCCAGCTAATATGCCAGATCCCATCGAAGCAGTACCACAAGAATGGCAGTGCGCAAGCAGCCCAGACAGAGGCCACACCACTCCAGAGTGAGTCTTGCCCCTGGGAGAGGGGAAGATAAGGTACACACCAGTCTGACTGTGGCCCCAGTGGTGGGCTGAGGGCAGACATCAGGTCTGACTGCGGCCCCACCCACCAATGCAAGTTACTCCAGACAGCACAGAGGAAGAGCCCTGCAGTTCCCTGACACTCCAGGGACTATCCAAAATGACGAAACGGTGGAATTCTCCTCAAAAGAAACTCAAGGAAGTAGCAACAGCTAACGAACTGATCAAAAACGATACAAGCAATATAGCAGAAAATGATTTTAAAATAATAGTCATAAAATTAATAGCTGGGCTTGGAAAAAGTATAGAGGACAGCAGAGAATCTATTACTACAGAGATCAAGGGACTAAGAAACAGTCAGGAGGAGCTAAAAAAATGCTATAAATGAGCTGCAAAATAAAATGGAGGCGACAACAGCTCGGATTGGAGACGCAGAGGAGAGAATAGGTGAATTAGAAGATAAAATTATGGAAAAAGAAGAAGCTGAGAAAAAGATAAAAAAAATCCAAGAGTATGAGGGGAGACTTAAAGAACTAAGTGACATAATTAAACGAAATAATGTATGCATAATTGGGATTCCAGAGGAGGAAGAGACAGGGAAAGGTGCTGAAGGTGTACTGGAAGAAATCATAGCTGAGAACTTCCCTGAACTGGGGAAGGAAAAAGGCATTGAAATCCAAGAGGCACAGAAAACTCCCTTCAGACGTAACTTGAATCAATCTTCTACACGACATATCATAGTGAAACTGGCAAAATACAAGGATAAAGAGAGAATTCTGAAAGCAGCTAGGGATAAACATGCTCTAACATATAAAGGGAGAC